ATCAGTTTTTATTTCATGAAGCTTTTCAAGGTGATATTCAACCGGAATGATAATTATATAAAAGTGTCCTGACCAAATTTAACCTTAGAAATTGATTATTGTTTGTTTTTAGACATTAGTGAAGATATACAAAAAGTGATGATGTGTGCCTTTATATTATTTGGTTTTTTTCTCTAGTATGTCACATATTAAACTAATACTTATTTACTAATATAACGTTTCGATCAGAGTTCAATATCAGGTTAACTTCATACTTGGAAAGTAATCGACTCGATTAAATTAGGTCACCGAAATAGAAAAACGTAGTTCAATCAACAGTGCTAGACTCTACTAAGAGAATGAATATAGAATAAAACTCGATCATATTTATGTACTTAATAGGACGAAATGAGAGGTGGAATAAAGTTACTATTCTTGGGAATATCTTTGGTAAATCAAGGAAAGTGAAATTCTGAATTACTCAGAAGTGGCTTTAGAAGTAAAAAATAAAAGTTGTAAATTACGTGATACTCAACGGCACAAAGTTAGAAATTTGATAAGGCCTACTATCGATAGTTTCCATTTGTACCAACGATACATGGATGATACTTTTATCATATGTGACGACAATACCGACATCGAATTGATAAGTAAAGAGTTCAACAGCTGTCATCATGCCATCCAGTTCACGTCGGAATCAGAAATGAACTCGGAATTCCATTTTTTGGATGTTTTCCTAAAAAAGGAGATCTGATGGTTCTCTTCAAAGATCAATCTACAGGAAACCAACATGGAATGGTCAGTACACAAATTTTCATAGTTGGGTCCCTTTAAGAAGAAAGAGAAACCTGATCCACTCCTTATCCTCAAGAATAAGAAGGATATGTTCTAGTGATACAATAGATGGGGAACTTCGGCAACTCAGAAAAGTCCTCATAGAGAATGGATATCCTCCAAGATTTATTGAGAGAAACATGAAATTAAGGGAAAAGCCTGGAAGAATCCAGATGGTGCCAAAGAAACTGCTATTTATGAGTGTTGAATTTAAAGGTGATACCACAGCTGAGATCCTGAGGAAAGCCTTCTTTATAGGCTCAGCTACGTATCAATTTCTACAGCCGACAAATAATCAATAGATGTGTCAAGGATAAACTGCCGCTTTGGGCCACTTCAATGTGTGTTTATAAATTCACCTGCTCGTGTGGAGCTAGTTATATTGGCCGCACAAAGCGCACGCTTTCTAAACGCATCTCTTAACATTATCCGGCATGGTTAGCAAAGGGACAATGCAAGACAATTACTAGCTCAATTCTCGAGCACTTGGTGAACTCAGGCCACGTAGCTCCACCAGAGTCGTCTTTCAAGATCATCTACAAGGTGAGGCCGAATGGTACAAAGGGCATCAGGTTTCAGCTTTTGTGTATGGCGGAGGAGCTGGCAATTGGTTATTACAACCCTGAAATTCTGAATGTTTATTAGTTAAATCAATAATAAACGCTCTTCGTATACATGACTCAGTGCCCATTCCAAATATCTGGAAGATATTTTCTGTTGTTCATAAAACCAAAGTAGAAAAGGACTGTGTAGCAAAAAAGGAGAATCCTAACATTATGGAGTTATCTTAAAATGTTATTCACTAACTAACAGTCTCCTGATATGTAGGATATATTGGATGGAAAGCATTAAGTATCAAATAGTCGTTCTCTTCAACTCAGATTTCCTTTTTTAAGGTTTTTCGTCAAGCATTACATTCAATTCATAGACAGACAGAGGAAAATAGAGAGGAATAAAGAGAAGCGGTAACTTTCATTTTCTCTAAGTAATACTTTTATAATATTAATTTTGGAAACCTAAAATCTTTTAATGTCGAACCCAATAAATAAGAATGTATGTAATATTTTAGAAAGCCTACACAAAATTACATTAGAGATTGATTGTCGGTGTAATACTTTGATTTGTACTTGTGGTCGTCACCAGTACAACACAACGGTAAGTAACTGTCTTTTATGTATAAAAGTTGGATATTTTTCTCATGTTTAAAGTTAAAATTCACACTAATAAAAACATGTGGATTTATAGTGAATAATCGTTTAAAGCTAACGCTATAAGAAATGTTGTCAAGTCATTCAAAAGACATAGAATTATGAGTGAACTAGTATTTGGATGCGTTTATTCCAATGTATTTGAACAACCTAGCAATATGTCTTATACTGTCAGATGTCATTTAAGAATTTCAGAAATAACTAATAAAAGTTATGAATATGTTTTTATAAATGGGATGAGTAAGTTATCGACAAAACAATCCACCACCCTTTCGTCTACGCCTACTTGAAGGCATAGAACAGAGATGGACAATTACAATTTAAATTTTTCAGGTAATCCATCTTATGTGATTTTGCATTACGTGCTTAAAGGACTGCTGTGATCCATATTAGATGTTGCGTCTAGGCTGTTTTAATGTTGTTTTATCGATTTTTTTCACACAGATGGAATGTCAGTTGTGGCGTTCGCTAAACTATGCGCGAAAACACCTTGCGATTTCTTTTACCTTACCCTTTTAATAGCTACTGTTTCTACTTTAGTATGAACCAACAGAGAAGCCACTGCTTCGTTCTGATTGGAAATATGTGCATGCCAACTTTTAAAATGAAAACTAGAATTCTTTTAATGCGGCGTGCTCACAAAAAGTACAAATTTACTAGGTCTTTCCTAGATGGACTAGAATACACAGATGAATTCAGACATGAAAGATAATGTTTGTAAACGATTGGAATCATTAATTCTCACTTTATCGTACAATCAAAGTATCTAACTGACTAATTATACCGCTTTACTAGAAAGTTTCACCAGTTCATGTTAAATTTATGAGTTCGACATTGTACCAACTGAGTTATGAAAAGCAGCAGTTGGGTATCGTAGCTCATTTGGTACAGCCTTGGATTACCCACTCGGAGGTTGATGGCCCAAATTCTGCCGAGATCCAAATTTTTGTCTAACCTTCAATCAATACCCATTTCATTAACAGCAGTCTACCAAAGCAAGACTATTTCAGATACTTTGAATGTCAATAAGCTTTTACCTTGATAAAAGTGAATTTTCGACTATTTAAGCAAAAAAAAACATCATTTTTACCCCACTTGGACTTCAGAAATTGAAGTTAACGTCAAATATTTGAATCTGGTCAGTATGAAGCCATGCCCCTTCCTAGATTTGATGATAATCAACTGGAACTTGAATAAATGAATGTTCTGTAGAGAATTTAGATTTGTCTTGTTCATCACTGTATCAGAGAGTGTGATATATTGCACAAATTGGTGTTTAATTCACGTAAAAGCGTTTCGCATGTATAAATCTAATATGTGTTCCTTAGCGTCATTATATAATTTCATATCTCTCATGGTAATGAGTGTAAAGCAAAAGACTGACAGTAACACATTTTTCTGATAATCTATCACAAAATTATGATAATTTAATATTTTATTAATTTGACCCCTAACCAGAAATTATTCTGGAACTTTCCTATCCATTTGATATAAATACACGAATGTACAGCCTAGATGATGACTTCGTCGAAAAGAAAATTTTCTTCGCTGCAATTGTCTTTTTATAACTCTTATGATAATATAATTTGAATGATTTCATTTCGCAAAATTTTTAATACTTCTAAAGTGCTTGATTTATTTTAAAAGCTTTTTCTTATTGTAAAATAGAATTATTAAAAAGACAATTGTAGCGAAGAAAATTTTCTTTTCGACGAAGTCATCATCTAGGCTGTACAAAGCTTTGTATCCAAAAAAAATTTACCTGTCCCTGCCATGGCCATCATAAACAGGTAAATTTTTTTTTAGTAATGACCATCCCATCGCCTTTCTTATCTAAACTTCCTGTTTATTTTGTCATTTTACTATTTCTACATATTTAATCCCTGATTGCATAAACAATTATTCATCACATTAGTTTTTTTATCCAAACATCCTGTCTATTTTGTTATTTCTACATTTCTAACCCCCAATTGCACAATGTCAATCTTCTTAGTTATTATAATGCTACTTTGTTTGAGTTTTATCCGTCCCCCTGTTTATTATGGCATTCTAATTCCTAATTGCGTCGGTGGCATAGCGGTTAGGACGCTCGCCGACCATGCATATGGTCCGGGGTTCAATCCCCGGCCGACGCACTCCTTTACCTCGCTAAGCCAGAAATAATGCTGATGAAGAGGAAAGGTTGGGCATGAGGCTAGCAACCCCATCCCGTAAAATGAACACTGCTACAGAAACTTCAAGCCACAAGCTTGAAGCCCTATTTTCCACTGGGGAACGTGAAGAAAAAAAAAATTCTAATTGCAATTCTTATTAATTTGACCCTTAACCGGAAATTATTCTGGAACTTTCCCATCCATTTGATATAAATACATGAATGTACAGCCTAGATGATGACTTCGTCGAAAAGAAAATTTTCTTCGCTGCAATTGTCTTTATAAAATAGAAGGCAATAAGTTGTGGATTTGAGTATCACTGAAGTACACTAGAATTAAGATATGTTATGACTGGATGAATTCCGCTACAAGGCAGGTTTTTCAGAATGCACTAGATAGAAACATTAAGACCCCAGTAAAAACAGTTATTCCCCAAAATAAGCTTATCAGTTGGATAGAGTAATTCTAATAACCAAATCCAAAAACCCTATAAACAGTATTTGTTTAACCTTTTTTCTAAGTGTTCGCGTACTGTGTACTAACATTCTAGGAAATGTTTCCAGTAAATTTCCATATGAGTAGTGAATAAATTATTCCTATACTTGAAAAAAGTTCACAATCCATAGATTCAGTGAGGAAAAACTCTGAAACTGAGACCGTCATAAAATCTACACCAAGTGGAATACATATATTTAGTTTCCAGTTAGTTGAATTCAATGTTATTAAGCTAAGCAACTCTAATCATTTACTGAACAACTAGTAATACAAATTTTAAAAAAATTTCATTTATTCCACTATGTAAATAAAACACTGAGCAGTGACTTACCTTCCACCAGTGATAATTTTATCAGGTAATTCAATGTTCAAACACACATCAGGTATCTTTTTAAATTTACTGCCATTTTAACTTTGGAACGTAAATAAATTCTACTGGTTAGAAAGTGCTCTTTCCATTGACCTTGATAGTCCAATAGTTTTAAAACAAAATTCTTTACAAAATGAGTGGGTGTACGTTTGTGAATTACAATTGACAGACTGAATATGTAGACTTGTGTAATGATTTCACTTGAATCTAAGTAATATGCTTAAAAGTAAATAAAAAAACTAAAATACTAAGGTTTTTCAGAGTTTCATTTTATATTAGATAATTTTATTTAACATCACATGTATTTATTAATCCAGTTATGAATATTGTATCACTGTATGTTAGGTCAAATAAACTCATCTCACATGGCATTATATTCTACTATGGTTTCGAAATAGTACTGCATCATTTCAGAGTCTCTTTTGGAGGTTTCTCAATTGCCCATCTTTAAATTTGATCTAAAAATATAATCACACATAGTTTTACTGCTAAGTTTTCGTCGCTTTCAGCTTCAGTCGTGGAATTATTTTCAGTACATTTTCACATAGAAATAAAGTTTGTAAATCCTTCATGCATACACATCGATAACACTTTGTCTTCTAATAGGTTTCGTAACATGAATTTACTGTTTCATCTTTAGTCGTTGATCGACTACATCTGTAAAACTATTTCAACGATTTAACGAGATGTGAGTGACTTGATATGATTATGAGCAATAGTTTGTGCTCGAAACTGGTCATCAGTTAATATTACTGTACAACACTGTGTGATTTATCAAAATAAAATCTTATCCATAATGGAGTTATACTCTACCACAGTGCCAAAGTTTTATACTTAGATGTATATCTTCTCTTCGCCTCAATCAATAATAAAAACCTTACCTGACTATGCATGAGACCCTAGAAAAGATGTGGCGTGTGCTGCTGACAATATTTATCAGTGGTGTATATGTAAGAGATGTTCATCGACATAAAAACATCAAATAGTAGGGAGATAGATTTGATATTTTTACGAGTTGATCACGGACTGATATCAGTTAGAGAACCACTGAAAACCAGGGAGTACTGGACCCTTACAAACCAAACTATAGAAAATTAATCTGATGCTCGCTAGTGACTTGCTACAGGATGGAGTTTCCTGCAGTTCTAGTGAGAAGTCGTGACCAGTGAGGTTCATCCAGATGTCACGTGTGAGGATGGATGTCCCACCTACGACAATGGTTGGGGTCGCGCTAAATCACAAATTGGTAGGAGTTAGAATTCATGAGCCATTGAATTGGGTCTCAGTGGCTGAATGGTATACGTGCCAGCTTGCCTTGCAACCGGAAGGTCGTGGGTTTGAACCCTGGCTGTGGGTGCGTACTGCCGATGATTCCCAAACTGGGTAGAAACAGCTGTCCAGTGCTCCAATGCTGGTTTTCAATGGTTCTCTAACTGATATCAATCCTTGACCAACTCATAAACACAAAACTAACCCCTTACAAACCAAACTATAGAGGATAGATTTGACACAAGAGAAAGTAAATGACACAGCGTTGTGGAGATATATGGAGGACGTGAAACGAACACAAAGAAGCACAATATGAAGGGCAGAAGTAGCACAACATGGGAGATCTGTGTAAATGGTGCGTTGAAGATAAGGTGTACATAGTTTCGCTATTTAGAGATGCCGAAACATTCCTTTAACAGGTTTTCGTCTTCTACCATTACAAAGACATTATGGAAGCATTGTGTATTCCGAAAGCTGAATATGATTCAAAGTTCCCCTTAATTCCTGTGTAGAACTTTAGTTTTGAGTGACGTCGAATAGCGTGCATAAATAAACAAACACTAATATATTTTAATCAGTGTAAGTGCTTTAAGCCAACATTAGGAAATTAAATTATTTCTATAAAGACATTATTCTATACAGAATTAATCATACAGTCATTTCACAGTGACACCCTGTTTTTCTGGAGGACCTGAAAGTACACAAGTAGATATAGTGTGTTATACATCCACTCTGATAAATTACATAGAAATATGCCTGAATACAAGCCTTGTATCAAGTTTATACTGAAAGAATGATTAGAAAATTAAGCAGGTGCATAGGAACGACTACTGCATTTAGGTAATCACTCATATTAAAAGGCAATAGGAAGTCTGTGTATTTAACCTAGACCTGAAATGTTCCAAACGTTGACCGAATACGTAAAGCCGTTGAATCTTTATACTCCTGAGAAAACACGACTTTCTTCGTGTCTATAGATTCATGTGTTTGTTAAGTTCCAGTAAGCATCAAATATGGGATAAAGCAAGGCTTCTTCACAAATGCCAATTAACGCCAAACGGCAGAGTTCATTGTTGTTGATTTTTTCAGTAAAGTTTAAACAACAGCGAAATCTGCTTTCGTCCGGAGGAAATACTTTTATTCCCTACAAATGTTCGGAAGGTCTGCTAAACTACAGGAATAGCCACTGAATACTCAAGCTACAATTGAATTAATGGGATTAGAAAGGTGACTTGTTTGAGGCAAATTTCTGTTCAACATTTATACCAGGGCACAATTATGAAAGCAGAATAAAACACATAAAGTTCCAGCTTAATTTTATTTACTAAAATTAGATTCATATGGCTATTTAACAACAAATGGAGACTTCCAGCAAAAATCATGTGAAAGCAGAACATTTCATACATAATATCATATATCAACTGCATACTTACACGTGACATCTATCCTACTCTCCAAACTCAAACGTAGCCTTTTTTTTCATTCTCTACACCTGTAATTCGTTGACTTAGCGTAATACAAAACGAGATATTTGAAATCCTATCTTTAGTTTCTTTATCTTATCTATAGTTCATTTTTTTAACCACGGCAATTAGTTCCCACAACAAATTCTAAAAATACTCAGACATCGTTTTCATTATAAACAACGAATGATATTTCTTACAGTTGTGCAGTCATTACCTGTCAAGGACCAGAAACAGAACAACAATTAAGAGATAAAGAAAAAGCTTATAGAAATGTAGCTACAAAGTAATGCCACAAAACAGTTACCTCTAGAGACTCACTTATTTATGATAAATGTAACCCATCAAAATGGATTGTATAAATTCTTTATCCATGTCTCCTCCTAAAAAGAAAATTGTCACTGTTAGGCAATGTAAAGCATATTTTATAGCTATATGGCAAGATAACTGGATAACTTACACATGCGTTGCCTAATAACAACATTCCCTAGACTGGAAGGAAGCTAAAATCGCTTCAAGAACCAGAGCATATCAACAACTGCACATTTGGCTTTTGAATATGATGTTGAAAATTTGAAAATTCTGTTTTCCAATTCATCGGCTTATCATAATAAATACTTATCTGTTCCATTCGTGAGAGATTTATGAAAAAAGTCGGGGGAGGGGGTTATGTTCAAAAATGTCTTGTAAAAATGAAGTATATTGAGTTTATCTGATTATAATGAGTACATTTCATACTCGCTATTACATTCACTAGTGCGTTGATGGTGCGGCAGTTGAGTGCTCGCTAACCACGCACATGCTTCAGGTTCAATTCCTGGCTAACGCACTCCTAAACCTCGCCTAGCCGGTAGTAAGCCCCGTGAAGAGGCTACAGCCCCGCATCGTGAAAACAACACTGCTGCTAGAAGCCCCATGTTCCACTCATAAAGCGAAGAATGAAACAATACACTCACTGCGTCCCGACAGCAGAAAGTTTAGAAAGGTAAGGTGACAAACCAACCAGTTCCTAATAATTGCAGATAAGATAAGAGTTTCGTTGACAAAATCGTGGACACCATCCTATTTCTTAAACTTCAATAATTTTATGAATATCTAATTGTGTCCTTTGAATACTGCATTCTAATGAAGCAGAACTTGTTTATGTGTCTTTTCAAACTACGCTGCTGCACTACTTTCTCACATTAAAGAAATTCAATAGAACTCGCATTGTATAAAGTGTAAAGAAGTTTACACATGTGAAACGATTTAAACAAAATATGATATTCTATTACATAATATGAATCAATAAAAATGTGATAACAAGTGGTTTCAACGACCCTAACAGGGTGACTGTAATGTGAAATGAACCTTTAATTTATAAAAATCATATGAGACAGATTACTAGGTAATACCAGTTTTATTTTTCTTAGGTTCCCTCAGCTTAAGAATCCGATACTTTTTATGAAAATATAACACCGATATTGTTGTAGAGCAAATACATTATGAATTCATATATATATATATATATATATATATATATATAAGATTCAGTGGGATCACCAGAGGTAAGGAGAATAGAAAACGAAAACGAAAGCAGTAATAACATATCGTTATTAGCATAAAATCATCTATGTTGGAATACATCAACAAACCTTATCTTCATTTATTGGGAATCTCAAGTTGTCTCCCTGATTTACTCAGTCAAAGTCAGTTTACCGATAAGCTATTCAGATCACTTTTCTCATACGACCGGTTTATTATTATTATTGTTTCCTTTAATTCTTAAAGAAACATAGGGCTTCAGCCGTGCGTCTCCATTGCGTTCGGTTCTCTGCTAGAGTCTTCACCTGGCTCCATGTCTGCCCACACGTTTTCATCTCCTCTTCACATGACCTCCTCCAAGTCACCCTTGCACTGACGACCAACTCACCGCTTCCCTATCGGGTTCCACTTGAGCAATGGCTTGTCTGTTGATGTCACTTCATGGTTTCCTCAGAGTATGGCCAATCCATCTCCATTTCTTCCTGCCTATTTGTTTCACAATCGGTTCCTGGTTGGATCGCTCCCAGAGATCTTTCTCTGTTGCTGATCTTTTCTGGCAAGCCATCTGATCTTGAGACTATTGAGCGAAGACAACTGTTAATGAAGGTCTGTAGTTTGTTTGAGATGCTCTTTATGACACGCCAAGTCTCTGATCCGTATAGTAGCACTGACTTCACACTGGAGTTGAAAATCTGGACCTTATTTTTGATGCTGATTGCTGTTAACCTCCACACAGGCTTGAGAGTAGTGAAAGCTTGCATTGCTTTCCCGATTCTTGCTTTGATATCCTCGTCAGTTCCGTGTGCCTGTAGTTGAGACGATGCTTCCCAGGTAGGTAAAAGAGGTTGTTTCTTTCAGGTTCCTCCTATTTATGCTGATCGTTGTCTGTTGTTGTTGTTGGTGGTGTTGGCCAGGGATCTTCATCACCATTGT